GTAAAGCTTTTGACTATGTAGACCACCAAATATTATTGATGAATAAGAGGTAATATTTTAAATCTGATTCGGACATACCTGACCAATAGACAACAAGTAACACAAATAACTCGAATCGACATAAAAATGAGAGAAGAAAAAATTTACACATCTAATTCTCGATATGTTCGGTATGGCGTTCCACAGGGAAGTGTGTTAGGACCATTGTTATTTCTTATTTACATAAATGACCTACCTAAATGTGTTTCACACCCCATGGTTTTATTTGCCGATGATAGCACAGCTATCATTAAAAGTGTTAAACATGATCTAGAAGACGAATTAAATTTAACACTAACACAAATCATTGAGGAATTGCAAAAAAATAATTTACAAGTTAATTTGGATAAAACTAAATTTATAAAGTTCTATCAAAGATGTGCAAATGATTTAAATTTAAAAGTAATAGACAGAGGAAACCAAATTGAAAAAGTTGACTACACAAAGTTTTTAGGCTTGACAGTCGACACTAGATTAACATGGACTTATCAATCGGACATAGTGTGTAACAAAATAAGTAAAGCGGCATATATTCTATGGAAATTGTCTAGCACCTTAAACATTGAATCACTGTTAACTGCATATTATGCCTATGTAGAATCGCATCTTAGATATGGCATCATATTCTGGGGAAATTGCAGCAAGAAAGAAAATATATTCAGGTCACAAAAAAAATGCGTTAGAGCGATGTGTAAATTAAAAACGAGAGAAAGCTGTAAATCTTCTTTTATAAAATATAAAATATTAACCATGCCGTCGTTATACATATTTGAGAGTGCGATGTTTGTGAAAAATAACTTGTCTCTTTTCTCCAAGCTCAACCATGAGCGAAGCAGACGTGACTTACACAAACTTTGTTTACCTAAAACGAATACTAAACTTATGAGCAAGAGTATACTCTGCATGGCACCAAAAATATATAATAGGCTCCCGAAAGAAATGAAGGAATTAAACACAAATCTATTTAAGAAAAAACTACGCGACATGTTAACAGAAAAATGTTATTACAGTATAAACGAATTTATGTCAAATTAATAATCTAAACGTATTCAGTGAATTAATAATGTGCAATTTTATCGATTTTTTTTAATTTTTTAGTCATTTAATTATTTGTCATTTTGTTCTCTGTTCTATTATTACTGTTTGTTAACTTACTTTTTTCATAGACATATGTTTTAATATTATTTTAATATTCTGTTATATAATTTTTTCAATTTTATTTTATGATTATAATAATTAAGAAATTTGAGAATGTATACTGACAACCTTTAAGCGAACATATCATATTTGCACACCCTACAAAATGGGTAGAATATAGCGATAAAAATTACTGTGTTGTGCACCTCATGCCTAACCTATATTTCGCAAATAAATACATTATTATTATTATTATTTTTATTATTACCTTATACCTGGTAAGTACATACGAGAACATGTTACCAATAGTTAAAATATACACGTATTAAACAAATTATTAAAATGATTTATTGCCTGAAATAATCATCGATTTCAACCTACCCAAAGCGTAGAATTATTTATCGCAATCGTACTGCCATTGTCACATTCCGATTTCGGCTAAGTGCAGTGGTGGCCACTAAAACATAATGTAGGTTGTTAATAATTTTAGAACCTAAGTTGATGTAGTCTGTGGCGCAGTAGGTGCTTAATAATTTTAGACGTAGTCTGTGGCGCAGCTTAAAGTTGTTGGTCAACATGTCTTTACACAAAATGGACATTATGTGTAAAACTGGACAAATTCTCATGGGATAACTGCATTTTTCTCTGCTTCCATTGGCTGTATCACGGCTTCTGTGACTAATCAGATAAATGTTTCGATGGGAAATTTCGTTTGAGGCATTGCTACTGAAACTATTTGCTACTGAAACTATACTAAACTACTGAAACTATTTCTGTTTTCAATATCACAATAAAATCAAGAAGATTTCATAATGTTCCCATTTTTTAGCAGTATGTGTTCCTTGTGGTCAATGGTTTAAACGGAGGACTGGGGTAGTTGATTTAATGTGAGAGTATTGTTAGTATTACTAGCGATAGTGTAATACTTAAATATTGTATTCAAGGTTTGCCATCACGTCACCAAAACTAAAATTTTCTTCATCACACGAAGAATACACATGAGTTGACGTTCAGAACAATATACTTGAATTTGTCTTCAGACCAGCCGAAATGTTGGTCACGTTAGCCGGGTTAGCCATGGGCGATGCGTGGGTTCAGTGAATGTTGGCGCCGTAGTACATCTTAAGGCATTACATTAACCCAAATATCTGACTCGATTGACAGAAACGTTGTTAGAATGTCGATAATTTTGAATTATACGTTTTCTAGGTTCGATTATTGTGCTGCAAGTGTTGGTGCGTTGCCTCACCTTTACATATCAACTCAATGTTCTGGATAAGTTGTAATTAACGGTCTTTCACAAGCTACTGTTGTTGTAAAACGTTTTTGTAACAGATTGTTCATCACATTGAAACGAGAGAATATGCAAATTTTAATTATTAGCAACCTATCGTGATTTTTCAAACGGTAAAGCGTGTCAATATTAGAAATTAATTTGAAACTGGAAGGGTAGAAAGAATTAGAGAAGTCAAGTAAGAGAAAGTATACCAACTATATTATAATATTGGCTTCGTTATTATTATAACTTGATAATATAATGATAATGCTGTGATAGTCGTTAATATTGTAAACAGAATAGTTAGACGCTTCGGAGCGTGGGTGGACAACTGCTTGTATCAATCGAGAGAAATATGACAGGTCACGTCTAATTTTTTTATGATAAAAAACTTCAACTTAATTTATTAGCCGGAGATTGTAATCCAAAATACAAGATTATATATACATATTAATAATTATATCTCAAATGTGGTATTAATATGACATCGGTTTCGCGTAATATTAACAAATAGACAAACTAACGTTAATTAGTAAGTGTTTTTTAAGTTTAAGATAACTCTTATTTCATTATCATACGTTAATGTAATAGCGTTTAACATAATTAGCACTTCTATAAGAACGTCGAATAAATTTAACAAAAATTATGAGTGTACTTTAAAAGTTATACTTCTCTAGCGTCAAGTCATTAAATGCAATTGATAACGGTTTATTTAAATAATAATAATATTAGTCTATTGCCATCCACTGCTGAACGTTAGCCTCCCAAAGTGCATTAACTATCCTGGTAAGTTTTTTAAATAACTTGGAATTATTGGTAAATTACAAAAAGTGGTTATTGGTTGCCATGGCAACCAAGCATGCTGAAGTTGGTTCAAGTTCGTCATTGTGTGCGCTCATCGTAAAAATTTTAGTCACACTCATATTTTTTTTAAACGCGCCAAAAGAAGTATAACTTCAATAAAAATTGAATACTTATTCATCATAGATATTTAAACGCATTCGAGTATCAAATACCTACCAAATACAAAATAAGTACAAAGGCAAAATCAAATCACTATTCGTCTCGCCTTTTAAAGCTTTTCAATGCTGAAGTAGCATTAGTTGTAACGTCTTAATTTGAACAAGTTTATATCCGCTTTATAAAATTAACTCGCTTGTTTTATTGGCGCTTACAAACTCAATTAGAATCGGGATTGGATTAACACGTGAGTTTTGTGTTAACGAGTAATCGCGTTAAATGGCGGCTACGTCCGCAATATAAAACTCATTTCGTTGCTTATTTTAAACATCTTACGGTTACGTGGAATCGGTCGATTTCAAACACTTACTTTCTAATTTATATCGTGAGAACGACACCTACACCTTTTATGACCTGTCAATGTCAAATTCACGCTTTTTAAAATATAAGAGTAAGACCTAATTTCACCCAGACATTTTCATTATACATTACTTAATAAAGGAAATGTAAAATTAGAGTGTAATAGTATAGTTTATAATAGGTATGTCTCAAAGTAGGGGTAAGACCTCCTCTCAACAGATATGAGGACATCATACACCAAGCATCTCCAGCCCGTAATGGCAGATCGTACATAGGATGTTAGAAAGCATTTTTTTTTATTCTTTCGAACAAATGCAGATGATGAGATATGACCGCTATCAAGTAAAAAGACGTTGGTAAAATTATATGTCCAGGGAAAAATAAAACGGACTAATTAATAAGAGACACATTACGTGATGTCTGTCTTTAATTTTTAAAGGAGGCAAACGAGCAAGCGAACCACCTGATGGTAAGTGTTCACCGCCGCCCATGGACACTGGCAACACCAGAGGAGTCAAAAATGCCTTTGAGGTCGGAATAGGCTCTCTTATTGAAGAACCCTAAATCTTATTAAAGATTCCACAACTTGTTTGTGCGTGGTAGAAATTTATGTAAAGTACTACTAGATAGTGGGCTGCCAACGGTAGGTATTTGCCAAGTGATGGTATTTGGCAGTTTGGCGTGTCATATGTCACGTGTTTTGTTACGACATTCAATACATATTCAATAATACATTCAGGCAAATTGTTATATAGCTAAAATAGAAACGTTTCGTCATCGTTTAGTAATTGGTGTGGACATAAGTAACATTGAAAAATATTTTTTTTAAACATTTTTTAATTGTTCCAATACATTCATAAATATTACCGCGTTGTGATTTTGAACCTCATCAAAATAATTTTAATTCTATTATATTACTCAGTATAAATAAATTGAATTAGAAATAAAAATAGACATACTTATTTTATAACGTGCTTTCTATTCAAGAGCAAATTATTTGTTTTATCTGTCAATGTTGGAATTATCGATATTCAAACAGGAAGCCGAACGAACTATTTGTTATAGTGTCCGGTCCAGGAGTCGAGTTTAAATCAGATATATATCGGACATTGTTCCAATGTTTCTGTTTGTTACTCAGTGTTATACAGTAATACGAGACGAGACAGGACAATCTATCCATGGGTACAGGTCATCTAGTCCTCGCATGTTTAGATTTAATCTAATTTAGATGAAGCGCATCTTCCAGAGGTTCCTAGTGCGTCTAGACTTAACGAGGTCGGAATCGACTTTAAATGCAATTTCGTGCAGTGTACTCGTACTTGGCGTTGTTGATTTTTATTTAGATCTTTATGTGAATGGGTTTCGCATTTTGGAAACTGAATTTAGTTAGCAGTTGTTATATGTTACGGCACTTGAACTTTCACCATGGATGGCTTTAGATGTTCTTTTATTGACATTTGAAGAATAAATCAAATTTATTATTTATCACGATTAGTAAATTTCTTATATAATGTACCCAAGCCATTCTTTTTCAAATTTCTACGATAATTTATATACATGAAAATAATGAAATTTATATAGTTATGTAGAAGATTATGAATGGTGAGTTTCAAAACTACATAATTACCTAAGTTTGAGTGGAAGTGAACTTGCAATACCGTTTGATTGTTTATTGTATATAGAAGTCGGTTGTCACGTGGTCATTGATGTTATAAACTAAACTGTGGCTTTGGTCGCTGTCGTGACGGTCGTTGTTGAAACAGCCTATGAATATTTTTATAATAATATTTCACATGGACGCTACTAAGTGGCTAGCAAATGTATGTAACTGTATAACAACGGGATTCAATGATAGCCGCTTCTTGGAATATCAAGTAGAACTGAGCCACAATGCATCTATGAATATTTCAGAACAGGCCGAGGACCCGTTATGCAGTAACGAATGCATATGATTTGCAACACCATTAAATTAAATGCGACTGTGATATAAATGATGACGTTTCGTTGGTCGAAACCTGGTACTAGGTCATTGGAATTTATATCTGCAGTATATCTACATATTAAAACTGCTCTCAATCTTGGAGCGTATTTCTAATACAGAGGTCGATTTTTATTTAAAGTTTTAGTTTACGTGATAAATAAAAAAAATAGTCAAAAGATATTAAGCTTGTTTAAGTCAGTCTGAAATTTATGTTACCCACTGAAACATATTGTACCACGTTATAAGAGATCTGGCACAGTTTTGAAACTGAATATTCGTTTCGGCGCAGTTTTCAAGGTATTGACTTCAGCGTCGGGGGTCGTGGGTTCTATCCCCACACGGGACAACTATTTGTGTGATCCACATATAGTTGTTTCGTATTTGGGTATTTGTCCACGTTAAATTTATGTTTGTAAAACGTCCTTACAGCACAGTATAATGTTATCCTAAAGTAAGGGCAATGTTTAAAAAAAATCCTTCGTTTTATTATGGTAGACGGTCACCATAATGGTTACGATAAGAATTTATATACATATTTAGATAGATAAGCTTTTAACGCATACATCATCTAATCCAGACGCTATAAAGCAAGGTGTCAACACTAATATGCGGTATTGAATGATTTACGCTGCCATTGTTTGAGTGCGGATTTAATTGCGAAATAAGGTCATCACGGCGTTGTTGCAAGGAACAATCAATTGTATCTGCCTCCATCCCTAGCACACGAGTGCGGAATGGTAATTGAACTGTAAATTAGATATGCAACGCTCTTGACAGCTTTATAAGCATCTAGCGCAGCGAACAGCGCCTTTCTGAATCTTGTGTGCTATGCCGACATGTTGATGACGTTCAGTGATGATGTGGGTCCCAGCACTACGGTCGTTGGATCTAAAGAATCGTCGAAGGAGAATTGAAAATAAGCTCTCACGTTAAAATATGTAGAAAAGCTCTCACGTCTTTTAAATCGGAGATACAGATGGATGCATATGTTTTACTATGTTATGTACTCTTGTGTTAGATTTACTCTGTTGTTGTAGATCTTGTTGTGGTGTGCTTTGTATGAAACGTGATAGGTAAATCATTTATTTTTCTAATAGGTAGGTAACAGTAACTGCTGTGCGAAGAAACATCAAATCTAACAACAGTGACTTTTCTCCATAACTTTTTTACATCGAGTGGACCGCTTGCTTGTTAACTCTTTTTCTAATAAAAATATCATTCGCAGAAAAATAAAGTTTGGTTTATAGAAAGCCGTGGAATTATTATTTAAAATTAACTATAACAATAGTAAATTCAGCCAAAAAAAAACACTAATTATTAATTATTCAATAACTTGTTAGTATTGTTAAATAATTATGAATAGATTAGGTGGTTTAAAAGTGTAACTAGAAGCAAATTGTCAATTCACTGTATTTCTTAGTTGTTCTTTTTTAGGGTTAAAAAAACGAACCCTTATAAGATCACTCTCTTGTCCGTCTTGGAAACTTAATGGAACCTATATGGTAGTTCCCGTTGATATAGAATCACGAAATTTGGCATAAAGCAAGGTCATATAGGAAAATTCAAATTTATTACTATTTTTACTCTTGTTTTTACATTGCCCTTACTGTAAGATAACATTATCCTGTATTGTAAGGACTTGGACAAACAGCCAGATCCGAAACAAGTACAGCAAGTATACAAGATCCGAAACGGAGTCTTCAAATACGAGTAGATAAAGTACATACAATTACATCAGCGTAGGTAGTTAGAGCATCTGGGCGCGATTCCGGAAGACGTTGGTACGATTTTTACTTTTCGATTAATTTTCTACAAATCAGTCAGTGGTCTAGGTTATTATTAACTAGACTTAATAGTTAGCTGTAATTAGAACGTAACTTTTATTGCAGACTGACGTCATGTCGAGCGGGAGTTGCTCCGGCCCTGGGGTATGTGACGGGGGGCTCGGAGGCGCCCACCACCGCCGCCGGAGCCAGCACTCTCCCTCGCCGCAGACCTGAGTGAACTGAGCCTGGACCAGGGGTACCACACGCTCGCGGACTGCGGTCCGCCCAGGAGGAGAAGGGACAACAACCTGAGCGATGCGCTGTGGTTGAAGGTGCTTTCCTATTTGGAGGTAAGATTAAGAAGAATCATTGAAAACTGGAGTCAGAATAAATTTGTCTATAAGTGTGTCGGCATCGCTGCCGAATTCGATCCGAAATATATAAAAGCAAGCCGTGGGAAAGCACTTCTAAACTATAATATTTAATCAGCTCACGATTCGTTAGTTTATGTACACTACTTCTTAATATTTATTTAATTAATGATTTGCATATAGTATTATAGCAAATAAATGTGTAATTTATAAAGGTGATCATTTCGTGACGCTGATATTACCTGGTGCTATGACCGACGATTTAGACTCCCGTCCCGATAGCTCAACAACCCTGTGTTTAATAAGGGACATTGGGCTCGTCTTTTGGATTCATGTTCTACGAGCCTGGTTCTACAGGGTTGTCATCACCGATCAACCACTTCTCTCGATTCGACTGTCTTGAGACGAGTAGTGGATATCCGTTCTACAAGCCTGGAACTACAGGGCTGTCATCACCGATCAATCATGTCTCTCAATTCGATTGTCTTAGATTGGGTTCAACTTATATTTATTTTTCTATAGGTGTCCGACCTCTGCCGCATGTCGAGGGTTTGCAGGCGCTGGGCGCGGATCGTGTCACGTCTCACCTCACGGCCGGAGCCCTGGAGGCGAGTGCGGGCTGCTGGACCCCTGGAAGTGGCTGCGCGCTGCGCGGGCGCCAGGGCTGGCCCATGCGTCAGCGCGGTCAGGGAGTGGCGTATCAAGAATTGCGCGGTAATTGTCAACGGTTGTCGTCCATATACGTCCATAAGAAACTAACTGGAAAGTTCCAGAATTAAGAACAGCAACCTTTTGTTGACTTTGATTTAAAATGTCCAAAAGGTGAAATTGAAATGAAGTACATGAATGAATCAAATCATAACGCGTAGGTATTTATAAGGTTATGATTTTGATTGTAATAAAAATAGTTGTAGTATTATTATTTTGTTTGTAATAAAAATATTACAAGCAAAAAATTATTATTGCTTGTATACGTAAAAAACAATATTCATTAAATTGTGTTACATTTCTAGTAATTGTTACTTTAGTGACCTTGTTATTTTCAAATATGAGTAGTGTAGACCAATTATTTGTGTTAATGGCTGTAGAGACGTTAGGATCGTGCGGTCAAAAAATAAAAGTTTTGGATTATGTGTTTTTCAAAATATATACTGAACTCATTATTGTGGCTAGTAAAAAGAGTGCAGGCTCTTTTCTCACTTAACAGTTAGTTTTATTCTTAACTATTCAACGAGTAACAGCTAATATTGTTGGCACCATGCAAATGTAACTTTGATTAGTCTTCACTACATAGTATAAAACAAAGTCATCCCGCTGTCTGTCTGTCCGTATGAATGCTGCAGATCTTTAAAAACTTGATGCGCTTTTTTTTTAAAAACGCAACGGAACTTGATGCGCTTTTTTTAGAGTGATTCACGAGGAACGTTTATATGCGAAGCAGAGGCGGGTCGCTAGTAATATTACTAAGTTTATATTTTAACACTATGTACTAAAAATAGAAACATTTAATTTTGTGTAGTACAAAGCATGTTGTGGTGTTCGAATGTTAATTAATATCGTGATTATGTCAAAAGAAAAAATGGATATCTTTGGACGTGTATAATATATAAGTTCATGAATACCTTATCATGAGGAATTTTAACAAGGCCATAGACATGTAAGCGAGTGTTGTATTTTGTATGAGAAGATATTTCCTTTGTTAGAATAACGGTCACAAAGTCACGTTGGGTCCGCAGAAAGCACGGATCCAGAGCCAATGATGCTAATAGGCAACGGATATTCAATCTGTCCACTCGTAATACTGATGTACTGTCGCGTCCTGCATTATGTATGCAGATTCCAAATACTTTGAACCCTGAGAGTTATAAAGGCCAATATTTTTTCCTAGCCGTGCCCATCTCGAATGTATAGAAGATTTATGGTACTGATAAACAAAATGATTGTTTAGCGTTCGTTTTGGGAAAGCAAACGTTCAATGTCTTTAAATAATAGATACCGTAAAGACATTGTTAGTATGTAATTTGTCTTACATGTCAGTTTATAAGAATTTGATATTGCAAGTCTTAAAATGGCTCGTGATGAGATATGAATTAGTATTCATCATGCAAAATATATCATCCCTTAGTTTTTGATAACATAGATAAAGCGCATAATTAAGCAGGCGACAAAGGAATCTTAGAGTATATACCGCTAAGAAGTTAAACTTTGGCCAAACTACTGTTTGGGTAATTTATCCAGAAATTTATACCGCATATGAAAGGAAACGAAAAGAAAAGTAGAAGAACCAGACCTACGCTAAATACAAGACTAATTGCAGCGATAAGGTAATGATTATATCATTAAAAATCAATTTATGCAAAGTTCCCACGAAATACATGTCATTACATGTTGTTTACAAAACACGAAGATTTTGGAGTGATCTTATATTTTTACATATTCAACGAAAGCGAAAATAGTTTTTTTTATGTATACGTATTAAGCTCCATGAATTATTAAACGAATCGATTGATAAGGAGCGATAACGCCAAACTGGACCCGTATGAAAACACCGTGTTAGTAATCCCGTCACGTAGTATTGAATGAGCGTGAGATTTACTGTAATGGATAAATTATTTATGAGTCTAGCGACGATTATTTAGAAACGCCAATGGCCGATTGTTTTCACGTAACTCAAATCGTCGCAGTCATGTTTAACTGTTAGCCCGATCCTTCGTTTATCAGACACCACTCAATCTTGAGATTGAGCAATTCTGACACGCGATTTTAGCTTTAGAGAGCTGTCAAAGAGCAACTAAAAGCAACGATAAAAACAATTTTAATTCGCAAGAGCGTATGGGTTCATTGTCTCTAAATTTGCATCGATCTGCGATTGTGAGTCTGAATTAGGTAGGTTTTAAAGTATTCGATAATTTGTATCCGATGATTTGATTACCTCATAACGCGTATATTAGGGTTAGTTTGTGTTATTAATTATAATCTTGGTTTAATTTTATATTTAACCAGGTTTTTAATAGAACCACACTCACGTTTATTTTATAACTAAATATGAAATCAAATTTTATTACGTAGGGAGGAAAAATAAGTTAATTTTCGCAACTAATCTGAATCGCGGCTAACGCTATATCAACATCAGACAGAATCAAGGCCCAATCATTCCTTATGTCATATATTGTCTCTTGGACTGTATTTCTTTTTATGTGTTATGTATGTTTATATATATTAATTTGTTTATCTTTAACTATAGTGTCATTATCTTGTTCGAATGAAGGTTCTCGTTTGCAGGTGACTGTTGCCGGTGCTCAACTTCTTGTGGCGACATTTCGAAATCTGACTCATTTGGCAATCGCCGGGTCCACTAGTATGGATGCAAGGGCCCTAGCACCAATAGTAACGGACCTGGTGGACTTAAGGCACATCGACCTTACTGGTATGTAATAGCTATTTAACAATAAGAATAAGTATCATAAGCCCATAAAAGTAGTAATTATTAGTTCTGTTTTGATGTCTTGGGATATTTATTATTAGGTCGTATACTTATATAATTGATCTATCATTCATAAAATGTAATAAATTAATCATTTATTGTAATTATGAAGATGGAGAGAGTTGTTAAGAAATTCCTGGAATGTAACTGAAGTCGGTGAACCTAATTAGTACTTTTGTCTTGTCATAAGAGTATCATTAGTAATAAAATAATATTTGTTCACGTTTCCCAATTTAAACACATGTAATTATGTTTATCAAGTATAACTTTTCCAGTAAGGTTCTGAATTAATTAGTACTGGCAGTAGTAGAGCCGTGATAGCTCAGTGTCTGGGCGGTCGTTTTCAATTCATTAGACTCGAGTTCAAATTCATGCTAGCATCGGTGAAATTATAAAATTTCACGCTGACTTATCCCGTGTTCAACGATGAAGGAAGACATCACATATTTTCTAACTAATATAAAAAAAAAATCGAAGATATGTAAAGCCTAAAATACGTAGTCGAATCGGGCCCTTGCCCAGCAATGGGACATGTAAAAAGTAAAGTAAAGTAACAGTAGTCCACCACGCGGCCCCACTGCGGATTGGCGGACTTCACATATCTTCGAAATATTTTTTTGTTATTATTTCGAAAATATGCAGGTTTCCTCACGATGTTTTCCTTCATCGCGGAGCACGTGATAAGTCAGCACTTAAAGTTAAAAACTTTATTGGTGCCGGCACCGGGGATCGAACTCAGGTTGCTCGAGTAAATTGAATTAAAGGCGAGCGCCCGGACACTGAGCTATCACGGCTCGTGATAGCTCAGTGTCCGGGCGCTGGTATGGGCCATGTATAAGCTGATATTTTACCAAGTGGTAGTTTGGTTACTGTTATGAATATTTTATTATTGTTTCTTGAAATCAATTTTTTGGCAATGTACGATTGACAAGATTTCGCGTTATCCTTTACAAAAGGTACTTCGAACAAGCTTTACTTCGCCGGTCATTAATTATTGAACGTTTGATCGTTGCTTTGTTCAAATATGGCAACATTAAAACAACCGAATAGTGATACTGTTCAAGACAAAATTGGCAATCTCAATATATTTTGCCGGTTGTGGTTTAGTTACTGTTGTTGCCAGTCCACACCCGTTTTGGTATGACCAATGAGTTTGACTTATCTAAAATAACTCGTATTTATGAGATTTGACCAAAAGAGGTATATTCTACCATTTGCTGTGACGTTTAAGAAATGGCATTAGACTTATCAACCGTATTCGATGATTTTTTTTCCGATTTTATTACGAACTATTAATTATTTATAATAACAGACTACAATGATCCGACTGGTATTTTCTGAAAATGTCTAAACACTTTAATTGGGTGACACTGTTATGTAATTCTGCATTATTGATGTAATACCAGTAGTAGTTCGCAGAAGAAAGAAGGTATCAAGTGTTTTATTTATAAAAGGTGGTGAACTGTTTGGTTTGAAAAAAATATTCAGATATCTGCAGTTACTGTTAAATTACATTAAAGTTTTAAAACAGCAATGTAATCGATAAAAACTGTTAGTCACACAAAAACTTCATTTACTAACATTTGTAGAGAATATTTGACCACCTTTTATCGGAAAGAGAAATTTTCCACTCTTTACAACGTAGATAATTAATGCTTACTTCAACGCTCCGGAAACTAGTCTTGGAGGACACGTCAAAGTAAAACTTTTAATTAGTAACAATGTAAAAGTAAAGGTGTACTGAACAAAACTTTCCGAGAAACATCAGTTTAAGTTTACGTAATTATTGTTTATTATCTTTCTGTTATATTTTTTGTAAGGTATGAATTTCTTGTTCATAAATTCCATTAAAAATATTTTTATAGCTTCGTTAAAATTCTTCGTTGTTAAAATTTTTCTACTTTTAATTAATACTATGAAATACTTGAACCTATGCCTTATTAAGAATGCGTAAAAGTTGATTGGGTACTCCTATATAGCATATATACTTTTTTACGTGAGATAGTGGCAAAAGAGCTGGCGGTTTACCTGATGTCATGTGATAACCGTCGTCCATTGACATTTGCAACACCCGTAGGGTTGCAGATGTGTTGCCACTTTATTATAAAGTGGGCCCCGGCTACCTCCCTCATAAGATGAAACGCAGAAGTATAAAACTTCCGCTGCACGCCGGTCGAGGTACTTACCCAGGCAGACCTGCTCATTCGTGCAAGCAAACTGTTACGTGGACCTACTAAAGTCCTTTATATACTGATTCTAGAAAAATAACAGATTACTTGTAGGTCATCACCAATAGAGTCGAACAATCTTCTATATCCGACGCTGTGCTTTTTTATCATTACAGTCTATGAGAAGATCGAACAGGTAGGCAAGTTATCCACCCTGGATAAGAGACACACCTAATATTTACGATTCCGCTATCTAAGGTTTAGATTGTTCTGTAAAGAGCGCCGGATATATTTTTATTGCTTATGGATCTAGGTTGCCCAAACGTGGATTGGCCGGAATGGGCGTGGCTGGAGACTCGGCTGATGACGCGCAGGCCGCCAGTGGAGTACATAGACCTGACAGACTGCGGGTCGGTGACTGACGCAGGGCTCTGCGCCCTCCTGCACACCTGCCCTTCCTTGCAGTACCTCTACCTTCGACGGTGCACTCTAGTCACAGGTGCGTTTCTAACAACCGTTGTCTACTGTCGGACAAGTGTACCTATAATTGATATTGAAGGAATTTGGTTCCCTTGGTAGCTCTGTTAGGAAGCTCGCTTTAAATTCAATATAGTCAAGCAACCTGAGTTCAATCCCTGTGCGAATGAAATTGTTAATTTTAAGTGCTGACTTTACACGTGCTCCACGGTGAAGGAAAACATCGTGAGGAAACCTATATATTTTCGAAGTAATTAAAATATTTCGAAGATATGGGAGGTCCGTCAATCCGCATTGGGATCGCGTGGAGGACTATGTCCTAAAATCCTCTGTCCGGAGGAGGCCTCTGCCCAGCAGTGGGACATGTATACGCTTTACTTACTATTGGTTTTTTAATGTTAAATGAAAATTGTCATGTAGGTAGGTTTTATTTTTTTGGCGTAGCCGTTGCGTAGGCATCTATTCTGAAATATTGCAAAACTTTGATTATGCGAAAGACATTTCCATTACTTTTCTCATTATCAGGTCCACAAAAGTGAATACATCTTTTTACAGGTTCATCGACTTTGTTTTCTAGTTTCATCTCTATGTATATTAGTTGTTACTAATATAAACAGAGATGACACTAGTGGTAACAAAAAACAATACCAAACTTGTAACTAAGGTGAAAAAACACATTTATGGAAATACTTGCACTTACTCTCATTACCCATTCGCTTGGATTTGATTACAAACTTATATGTAAGGGGTTTTATTAGTCTTATTGTAAAGTTAAACATGACTCAATGTAATCTGAAAGTTTTTACATAAGTTGGTTTGGTTGTATTAACGTAAGGTCCAGACAGATAGTAAATAGATAAATAATATTAAATAGATAAATTGCTAGACAAACTATTTTGACTATATCGTAGGAATAACTACTATAAACATTATTCAATATACTCACAGCACTGTGGTGTCAATATAAGATTCCGTTTGATGCTTGTTTCTTTTCTTATTTAGATTATGTAATTAAGTGGATAGTGACTTGCCTCTTGCGGTGGAGGGTGTGGGTTCGATGCCGACTACTGGAAAAGTACCGTGTGATGAAATACTATAATATTTTTGTAGCATTAAGGTTTTATTGTATTCATTTACAAAATAAAAGTATGTATAAGTATGTCTATCAGTATCCATAGTGCATGTTTAACAACCAGTCTTGAAATATTTATTATCATTATCATTATTAATTAAATATGCGTGAATGCAAATTCCACGCTTTCGTAATTTTATTTCTGACATCAAATTTCTCCATTCATCGATTATTTTTCATGTTCTCGGTCAAGTTTTATAAAAGTTAAAGTACCAAAGTACCAAGACCATACATAGACTAAGTGGCATTAAGATATAATTTTACACCACAATGGATTGTTAGGATTTTTTTTAAACATTGCCCTTACTGTGGAATAACATTTTCTTATATTATAGGGAAGTTTTAAATGCATAAATTTCACGCGGGCCAACACCTGACCCGAAACGATTATCTTTGGGTCGCACAAGCAGCCCATGTGGGGATCGAACCCACGACCCCCGACGCCAAAGCCTTGGTAAGGTATACCTTAATGTTTAAGGTAAAGGTATACCTTGGCAACTGCGCCACGGAGTCGTCAGTTTAAGAGAAAACTCCGGATATCACGTTCCCAGTATTTCGTCAAGATGTTTGAACGTTTCCTAATTGATCTTTTGTGTACTTTATCGGTATTAATTGCAATGTTGCCCATTAGAATACACTTGCTGAATGTCGCGCACTCGAGAGAACCCACATTGTCCGTTTATCATCCCAACACGAAAATACAGTCGGCTGAAGAACTGTTTGAGCCTTTTCGTGCGATTCTCCCGTCTTCGGCACATAGCGCGTCGTCGGGCGAGGTTCGCAACGCGATAAATCATCCGCCGTGAATACCGACGTCCGTTAATAAATCACGGTTATTATGTTTGCGTCTCGCACGAACGGTGCGGAGCACTCGGCGATTTCGCCATTAAATATCAATACGGGCCCGTCATTAACGCGTATTACCGGCAACGGCCGCATTTGATATCGCAACGGCTTTATTAGATTATCGCCGCAATAACTCGACACTGGCGTAGCCTCTTGTTGGGTCCTTCCCACTTTTTATTGGAACGATAATGTTTTTGTGGCGGTGAATAGTCCGGTAATATGTATCGGATGTGAATGCGTTTGCCTTTAGTTCTGCAGCTACGTTGGAAACATGTTTTTTGTCATTAATCATTGTCCTTCATCATTCGTAGAGGCTGGGAGGTTAGTCTCGCGATCACGAGTTGTGGGTTTTAATCCCAGTGCCCTGATGAATTTTCATATCCTTATCTACTTTAAAAAAATAAAAAGCTTGGTCAAGCTTGCATCAGCTGTCTTCCATGATAGGATTAATATACCGTTGTCTTCATGGTAAACTAAGGTAAACCTGTGTGTGCGATTTAGGTATACCTAAATTGCCAACGATAAACTCCTACTATCAGAAAATGTATCTGTAGATTTATACTCGTATTATACAGCAATAGATTCTACCCTCAATATCGGAACTTATAGCTTAGTACGTGCTGCAAAGGATTCATAAATAATTGTAGACATTTATATGACACGATTGAACCTATGATCAATTTATCATCATTGAATTGAATGACCCAATTACTAATTTGTATTAATTGCATTTGCTCGGTTGGGGAGTTTATGACGCCCACAAAGGAATGGTTCGTTGAATCAACATTTAATTACAAGATAATCGTACATTATTAACAGTACATTATTAGTGACACGTCAATCGTCGTGACTAAACATCAAAACAGTTATATTTAATTATAATTATTAACAAAAAAAAAAACGACTTCAAACCGGAAACTAAAAAACATTGTTAATCCCTGTAACATTAGAGGAGTGCCCTCCATTTCTCTGGGATGCCATCATCAGACCCGGGTATCCTTGTCATGATACCACCCTTGGGATATTTCCTTTCCGACAAAACGAAGAAGCTATCCACGAAGACACATAAAAAAATATAAACGGTCGAATTGAGAAACCTCCTTCTTTTTTGAAGTCGGTAAAAAAATATTTCGAAGGGATGGGGTCCCGTGGTTGAATGTGCCCTGATGCCCTCTGTACATATGAGTCTTTTATTACTTTGTAGTGAAATTTTGTTTATTTAGTGTTTTTTTATCGATAGAATTGCAAACTTTTTAGAAAATTGATATAAATAGCCTTATTTAATTCGTTTGGACAATATAAAAAGGCACGTTTCTGGAATTCGTCGAATTATATAGAGCTTTGTAAGCTATTTTTTTCTGTGTTGTAGTATGCTTGTTCATGTAGGACGTTACAAAAGAGCGGCGTGAAGAGAAAGTAGTTATACTCTTGCGCTTCATTGGTGAGTGAGGTAAATGGGGGCCACTCTTTTAAATATGGCAACGCATCTGCAGCTGCGCAGCTGTTGTAGACGTCCATGCATTGTTTTGCATACGTATTTTATGCATGCAAAACTTATTTACAGTAAGAATAAATAGTAAAAAACGACTAGAAATTCATGGTAGGCGTAAATTGAATATAGTTGATGTTAACGATCGTACTTTCTAAAACAATTAAAGTAATAAATGAACCAATTTATACTCCTACTATTATTAGCCACTTGGGAAATGAGTGATTTCAATATATGAAGCTTCTATAGAATTCGTATCGCACATTTACTGTTTAGTGTCATCGTGTGATCAAGTCTTTTTGTTTAGTTATGATACTTAAATAAAATAAATAAATAAATAAATTTAAATAACTTTTAAAAATTTTAATAAATAAATACTTTAGGACATATTTTTACACAACGTTCTCGAGTCCCAAACCAAGCAACGCTTGTACTATGGATACTAGATAACTGATAAACATACTTAAACATACTTTTCTTATGTAAGTAAATACATATTATACATATTTAAACAGCCAGACACTAGAAAAACACTATGTTCATCACACACCAGTAGTGGGGCTCGAACCCACACCCTGTGGCGTAGGAGGCAGGTATTCTACCCACTACGCCATTCGTCGATACATTACGTCTCAGATTTACTCTCAAGTGAAACATCTTCGTTTGTATGTTGTAAAGGATATAAACAATAGAGGCGCCAAGCATTGCTTGAAAAGCATTGCGAAAAAACAATGTAGATAAAAGACGTTGAGATTTTCGCCGTTGTGGCAATCGGTTGTTTAGTTGGGTTGTTAAAGCGTCTGGGCGCGAATTTAGAAGACGTGCGTTCAATTCCCGCAGCGCAGCGGCGAGAAACTTTTCGTTCTTTATTTCTAAAAATTTTAATGTATCATTTCATGTGCAGAGATTCGCATTATCAAAACTGAGACTTCCAATAACACATTTTTACATACAAGTACACGAGTAAACGTTATAAACGTAAACAGATGTGTACACTCTACCCCATATATTTTAACTATTAAAATGCAATATCGTACTAGTAACTTATTTAATCATTTCGTTATATTCGTATTTATATTTGAAGACTCCGTCCAATTTAATATAGCATGTTTAATGTCACATCGTGAGACAAAATGAAACGCTGAATTATATATTTCCATTCGTTTAAACAGCCAGTAAAGTTATAACAAATGTTATCATAGACGATAAATATTGAAACAGGCGTGCTTAATGTAGTAAAAAAAAATGAAAGATAATATCTGAATACTCGTGTCGTTTAATTGAAAAAGTATTTCATTCTATATTCTAATGTATTTTTTTAATTGATTTAGACTTTTACTTTAGACCTTATATTTAGAGACAACTACAAATTCTTGTAGACTAATTTATCTCAATTGGCTAGACATTTTTATTATGAGTATTAGTCGTTCCAAACGATGAATGGGTTTTTCAAATGGTAACGGATAACTGCTGCCCATGTGTTGTCAACCTTCATATGGGGCTTACTCCAAAGTGAAAACATAAAAGTTTAAATACTTTTGAAACACTTTATTTAGTCCTCTCTGAAGTCCAAAGTTGCTTCATTGCGTCTACGTTGTGCTGCTGTGTGCTCAGAGTGGTATTGTCGGACATTTTTAATATTAGTTAAGTTTTCAAAAACGGAGCAGGATCTCAGTTCGACTGCATTTTTTTTGTTTGTTACCAAAAATACTGGTTACCAAAAAGATCAGAACTTTCGTCTGAGTGAACCGATTTTGATGATTCTTTTTTTATTTCAAAGCTGGTGCTTTCCATGTTGTCCAGTGTGAATTTCATTGGTATTGAATCTTGGGCCACGAAGATGCGAAGGAAACTCCTGAAAATCAATTGTAATATGAACACGAGCGAGATATTTGGAGTCAGGTTTTTTCTGTCGTTCATAAAAAATGTATTTGTTACAGACGCAGGAGTAAGGTGGGTACCTTCTTATTGTGCGCTGAAGGAGTTGAGCGTGTCCGACTGTACCGGTGTCACGGACTTCGGGCTGTACGAGCTTGCGAAGCTGGGACCAGCCTTGCGCTACCTGTCAGTTGCGAAATGCTCTCAGGTAAGTCAGCTTTTTTGTATTTATTTTTAATTTTTTTTTCATATCAAAAAGCGCTATAGATACTTTTTATTGAAATGCCAAATACAACATTGCACTGATATTACAAATATGAAATCTAGTAAGTTACTAGTTGCTGCCCGCGACTACGTCTGCGTAGAGGGGTGAAAATTTAGGGTTGTATGTATTTTTGTATGCTGTATCATAAAAAAATTAAAACAACAAATTTTGTCCAAAAAATAAAAAAAATGTCAAGGGTGAACAACCCTTATCACTTAGGGGTATGAAAAACAGATAGTAGCCGATTCTCAGACCTACTGAATATGCATAAATTTTTTTGTAAAAAACAGTAAAGCCGTTTCGGAGGAGACCTTACTCCTCCGACTAACATTATGACACGAGAATTTTATATATAAGATGTTCAATTCCCTTTTCCGATAATTTGGATGGACGGGTGGTTTACAGGTGATTTAATATATTATGATCAACAATATTAAACAAGGTTATTGTTACTGTGGGTTATCCTTAGGTGATAACCACTGAGAACTTTTTTATCAATATATTTAAGCTATAAAATTTTGTATTATATTAATTTGATTTATCTCGTAAGGTTTAGCCAGTGTTTTGCAATGTTTATTACGATTTGCGCAAAGCGCACAAAAATATGTTTATTACGATATCACATTACAAATCTTTGAATTTATCGGCTTTTCTCTTCTATAATATGCATATATTATATTACATACTAGCGGCCCGCCCCGGCTACGCACGGGTAACAATACTTTTAACAAAAAATTTTAAAATTAAAAATTATCATACACACACATAAAACCTTCCGAATGTTACGTCTGTGGTGAATAATTTTATGAATTTCTTAATCTTTTAATGAAATACCCTTGAAATTACGTCATGAAGATCGAAAGATCGCTGACCAGATATTGGTTCCACTTTAATTACGGGACATTCGGGGTTACACGTAAAAGTGACAAATAAGTCTGGTCTCCCATAGCTTCGGGCATAAATCTTTGTCTTTTTTAATGCAGATAACTCGGAGAACCCGTAAATGAATATGACGTTGCATATTACGCGTTGACCGATATTTGATGGGCCAATGTCTTGATTTAAAGCGTCTCTAAGATGAATGTTTCACCAGCCCTCAATCTATGGTGATTACGACATCATATGTAATTCAATCTTTCTGATATTTTTTTGCCATCATATCGACAATATATTGAATAAAAACCGGCCAAGTGCGAGTCGGACTCACACACGAAGGGTTACGTACCGACCTCACAGAAAACCGGGGTAAAATAGAAGTGTTATACTTTTACGTTTCGTCTGGTGAGAGAGGTAGCCGGGGCCCATTTTATTTGAAGATGGCAACTCATTTGCAACCCTACAGGTGTTGCAAATGTCCATGGGCGGCGGTTATTACTTAACGTCAGGTGAACCGCCAGCTCGTTTGCCACTCTATCACATTAAAAAAATCATGTTTTAATATCTTTATTCAAGATTATAATATATAATAAGTATTGCACTTAAATATTGACAAAAACACTACTACTGTATTACATACTACTACTGTGTACTACAACATTATGTATAAAACCGGCAAAAAAATCATGTCTGTTTTATGGGAGCCCCTCTTATTTATAATTTTTGTTTTTTAGTATTTGTTGTTATAGCGGCAACAAATGACAACGAAATACATCGTTTGCGAAAATTTCAACTGTCTAACTATCACGATTCATGAGATACAGCCTGGTGACATATGGACAGACATACGGACATACAGACGGACAGCGGATTCGTAGTAATAGGGTGCCGTTTTACCCTTTGGGTAAAGTAAAGTAAAGTAACAGCCTAGACATGTCCCACTGCTGGGCAAAGACCTCCTCTATGCAGAGGGTATCAGGGCATAGTCCACCACGCGGCCCCACTGCGGATTGACGGACTTCACATGTCTTCGAAATATATTTTTTTTATTACTATTTCGAAAATATGCAGGTTTCTTCACGATGTTTTCCTTCACCACGGAGCACGTGATAAGTCAGCACTTAAAGTTAAAAACTTCATTGGTGCCGGCACCGGCATCGAACTCAGGTTGCTCGAGTATATAGAATTAAAGGCGAGCGCCCGGACACTGAGCTATCACGCTATTTTTTATCATTTTTAAGTTTCTAGAAATAGTTCCCAACTTAAAAGGGTCTCTGAGTTACACCGATTGTATGATCCACTAAATTTCGGCGGCATTTCAAACAAAATTTTAAAATAAAAGAACACTTATCGTGGCATAACTATAATAGTTAGACATATGCTCTCGCGACACTTTTTGGAAATAATGATGTGTTCTACAAATTCTTAGTACATTACTTTATTCTATCATCAATAGTTTTCGCAGCGCACGCGAGTAAAGAATATTTTAAGTAATTTTTTTATACTTTGGGTTACATTATTGAAATTTTAGTAAGGATCCGAATTTTTTTTGAAAATATAATATAGCCTATATCAACCGGGGATAATGTAGCTTCTCAACAGTGAAAGAATTTTTCAAATCGGTTCAATAGTTTCGGAGCCTATTCAATACATACAAACAATCAAATCTTTCCTCTTTATAATATAGATAAACTTTCCGCTTGAATCACTATCTATTGCTGACAACCACATTAAAATCCGCTATGTAGTTTAAAGATCTAAACGTACATAGAGTGACTTTATACCACGTAAAGATTTTTATTCGTTTGTAATGTCTCCGTAACAATTGTCGTTGATCCAGAAAATGTTTTTTCAGGTATCCGACTCCGGGATTCGAACCTTGACCCGACGCTGCTATAAGCTGCGGTATCTGAACGCGCGGGGGTGCGGCGCGGTCGGCGACGACGGTGTCGAGGCGATCGCGCGGGGATGCTCCAGGCTGAGGGCTCTGGATTTGGGTGCTACAGATGTATCGGAGGCTGGGCTGCAGGTGAACATTCTATAACAGTACAGGCCTCGATCGGGAAAAATTAAAGTTATATACATCCGTACTGACCTGGGGTCCCGTTGGAAAGTGTTAAACTAGTTTTATGTGGTTTGCTGTACTATATCTGTAGAAGAGAACTTGTGTGTATATAACTATAACACCCTTCTGCTGAAGAATAGGCAGGCTCATCCGGGGATGTACCACGATCTCACAGAAGACTAACGTGAATTGGAAGTATGTTATTTTATGATTCGTCTGGTTAGTGAGGTTATACGGGCCAAATGTTTTTAAATATTTTCAACGCATCTGCAAGCCCCTAAGTGTTGTAGTCTATAGGCGGGGGTAATCACTTAATACCAAGAGAACTGTCTTCTCGCTTGACAACTTATCATATAAAAAATGCTAATACTTACGCTCGATTTCTGAAACACTGATCATCGTAGATGTTAACTAATCAGCTGGCAAATGACTTTTCAAATGTTAATAATAAGTTGTCAATAGGATGGTTAAAGTCTCTGAATTGATCAGAATGATCAATTGAAAGAGTTTAACCATCTTTTTGGCAACTCAGTGTTTCAGAAAGTAAGGTTATTATCGTTACGCCAATGTGACAACGATAACCTATTTTTCGTTAAATATATTTGTCGATTCGGTGTAAAAGCGAGGATAGTAGACGAAAGATTTACCGAAGGGAACATAAAAATTTGTGCATTCAATGATCGTCTCTATTATGTTTTTAGAAAGTAACAGATATTGGATACTCGTAATGTGGTTCGTAGAAATCTTGCCGAAGCTTGATAAAAGTCGATGGATTTCAGATCCTGGCACGGTGCTGTCCGAATTTGAAGAAGCTCGCCCTCCGCGGTTGCGAGTTGATCGGCGACGACGGCTTAGAAGCGGTCGCGTATTACTGCAGGGGTCTGACGCAGTTGAACATTCAGGACACGCCGGTGACGTTGCGCGGGTACAGGGCGGTCAAGAAGTACTGCAAGCGGTGCGTCATAGAGCACACGAATCCGGGATTCTGCTGACGTATATTGAGATGCCACAGCAATATGGCTTCGTGCCTTAATAAGAACTGTTAGCTTAGCCTCTGTTGTATGATGCAGTCGTGAGGATTGAACGATTTGTGTCGGCATCGTTCACAGAGCTCCGCTGCAAGATAGATTACGAGAAGAAAAAAGTATATTAAATTGTGTAACGTTTTCATGTTACGTAAACAGGCAAATGTTTGTATCTACTTAACGTGTTACAGTTACAATTATTGGTGTAAGTGAAACGTTGGTATGTCAATTATGCCAACTTATTATGTTGTTGAACAGTAAATAATTTTGTTCATGTTATTTGGTTTAAAATGACAATTGAAGGTAGCATCTACATCACAATTTCAATAGAAGTCGTATGAATTGTTACATCAATATATTCTCAAAAAGAGAATACGACTAAGAGTTTTATAGCCTAAATCACTCTAGTACGATATAACTAATTGCTATATTGGATAAATGCTAGTGTGAAAGAGAGATTTTGAATAAAATACCTCGACTTGTTTCGGCCCTCGGCGGCGTACTACTGGCCAATAGCTATGCGGGGTGTACCTACATAAAACATTAAACATAACTTATTTGTCTTTTGTCTTCCGTAACTATCGAACCGACCCGGTTTTAAAAGCTTTCGCTAATCGCTTCATATAAGAATATCATAATACAGTTTAAAAAAACATTTCGTATACATTGTCAAAATTTATTAAACCACGTTTTGCTTTTAAAAAACTATTCCACATTCAAAATACAATATGTGAAAAATGCAAATCCGAAAAAAAAATGCAAATACAAATAAAACTCCCTGATGAATTATTCATAAAATGTTCTAGTACAATTTAAAATTAAAAACTTAACGAGACGCGGGGAGGAGAATGCATCAATTGTGACCGAGGTGAATATTATATTCGCGGGAATGTCAGAGCCAGAACAATTTCTAACGTTGTTAGCAGAATCATTTTAAATGAAAACGCAGTGTTCATGACATACAGTGAATGGGACGATTTGAATTCAACGCTAAATTAGTTTAATGTTGTCGCCCAATTGTCGATTGTCATCAGAACTTTAAGGTTTTTATTCAACAGAGTATTGTTGATGTGATTTCTGCGCCAGACAAATCTTGGACTAATAAATAGAAAAAATTCTGTAATGGTACATTAAAAAATAACTAAAGATTTTTTTATTAAATAAATTATAACGAAGTTTTTTCGAACAGACAAGATTCGTTATTAATTACCATGTGCTAAAAACATTCAGTTAGTAGAGCAGATACGAGCAGAAGAAAGAAGGTTTTTGTCATTTTGAGAAGCGTGCCTTTTATTAAAAAACTGTTTAAAGGAAGGGTATAGTTATTGGGTTCCTAAATCTGAAGCTTTAAGAAAAGCAGTGATTGACAATCCCTCAGGATTCTCTTGCCATTCATCTCGCGAAAAGTTTTAATGAAATGAAAAATTTATTGTAATATTTAAAAAAGAAAACATACGGATTGTGCCTTTGTTAAAAAAAAACCAATGTAAATATAAAAAAATAACTTTCTGTATTATACGTACGCTTTAATTTTAATATTTATATAAATAATGTAGTTGTTTAAGTTTGAACAAGTTTATAATTTTTTTGGAGGTTTCTAGTGATTTTATTTGTTGTAAATAGATCAAAAAACCTTTGAATAAAAAAAACAGTGCATTTTTTTAACATTTTGTTTCAATTACAACTGAGCCTAATTTTATTGTATGTGGTTCAAATAACAAATTAAAATTGCCATTTTGTAATTCAGTAAATACGTGCCATAGTACTGTAGATTGAATTAATCGAAAATTTAAAAAAATACGGCGAAGACATTGTCCTTTACATGGAATATAAATTTGTAAATATCACTCTGCCTAGTTAGTTATAGTAAATATAATATAATAGTTGTATTTAAATATCTTATAAAGATATTGTTCATATTGTAAAATTATATTTTTATGTCCATTAACTCAATTGCCATTGTTGTTTCAGTTTACGATTAAATTAAAATTAATACCATTTTTTTTTATTTTATTACGTTCCTGTTGCGAATAAACATTGCATGTTCGAATCAATTTATTTAAATGCCTCTCTAGGGTATGTTTATTCTAAAATATAATAGGTGAAGTAAGCCACTTCTAAGATCCGCTTAGTTGTTAATTGTACAAAAAATACAAAACGCTCATTTTGACGTTTACTTATTGCCAAAACGTGAAAGGCTGTAATCCAGTCTAACTGTGGTAGGACCACGCAACAGTCTCCGCTGTTGCAGGAATGGGCACGTCCGTCCGGGTAAGTACCACGACCTCACAGAAGACCGGCGTGAAGTGAAAGTGTTATATGGCTGCGTTTCGTATGGTAGGCGTGTAACGTTTCTGTATTGGATGGTGTAGTTAATGATCGGGAGATTTAATAAAAGATTTATTAGCAGTTAAGAAGTTGTATTCATCCCTCCAGTTTAAAGTTACAATCCCTGGACTAGCTCAGATTTCAACTTCTAGCTATGCAAAGTCGAAGATAATGGATCCACAAAAACTAATTTATCCAATGTCAATTCGAACCGGCGGCAATCTCAAAAAAAAGTACGACCAAATGAAGTTAACTTTTACATTCGTCCTTTCGAACAGGCAAAGGTTCATATGACATGCAGCCTAGTCTTTAGAAAAACGACAATTTCGACAAAGTGATGAAATCACACGTTACAGGCGGAACCACTTTAAAGGGGTAAGGCATCTTCAACCCTACAGTGTAGTATTGCAGATGTGCATGGGCTGCGGTTACTGTAACATAATAATAAAAATAGATCTTAATACTGTACAATCACAAATAATGTACAAGTAATTTAAAATGCAATTGATTTTAGACAAAAAAGTCTGGGTTTCAGCTTTGTTACACACATTGTGATATTTTATTCCAACACTGATATTTTATTCCAGCCTGACATTAATTAGCAGCATACGATTAACAATAAACATTTAATATTTAAAAACAAAAATTATAATACTAGGAAAAAAAACTTCACCGTGAAATTAAAACATGCTAGCAACTGATTATAACGAGTTGCTGGCATGTTTTGAATACAAACGGATATATAAAGCATCATATGAACTCTTGCCAGTTTCTCACATAAAAGACTATCGCCAAAATGATAGTTTCGGCAGGTGGTATTCGGTATTTCAGAAATTAAAAACGTAAAATAAATTGGTGCATAAGATTATGATCTCCTTATAAACATGACAAGTCCGTAATTTAGTTAAAGGATTAATAAATCTTACTGTAACCTTTTTTGGTTAATCGTCCGTCTCGTAAACATAAAACGTCTTCAAATTTTTTTCAATCATCTGTCCCTGTGCATTTTTAGGGTTCCGTACCCAAAGGATAAACCAGACCCTATTACTATGTCTTCGCTGTCTGTCTGTCCGTTTGCCACCAGGCTGTACCTCATGAACTCGTATTTCCGTTACCGCTATAAAAACAAATACTAAAAACAGAATAAAAAATACTTTGGGAGCCAAAAACAAACATGATTTTTTTGCCGTTTTTATAGATGGTACCAAACCCTTCTTGCGTGAGTCCGAGTCGAACTTGGGCGTTTTTTTTTCATTCAAGTAATATTTTATCCCTTCAACGATTGACACAGTTACGAGTCAACATAATAAAGCTTTTCATCAAGTTTTCTTGTATCAAGTTCGGGTTCAATTTTTTAATATTCAACACGTGTACAGAAACAGTTAAAGTAACAGTTAAAAAGAACTCCGCAAAGTAATATTTTTTTTATGTGAAAAAGTGGCAAACGACCTGGCGCTTCACCTGATGTTAAGTAATAACCGCCGCCCATGGACATTTGCAACACCCGTAGGGTGGCAAATGCGTCACTCACTTGACGAAACGCAGATTTGTAACACCTCTAATTTACGACGGTCTTCTGTGAGGTCGTGGTAATTACCCGGACGGTATATATAACTTTTGAAAGTTATCGTTTCTCACCTGTGCTTGGTGTAAGATTACAAGCTTATCGCCTTAGTTGGAAAACGGTAAGGTATCTCCGTCTATCGTCTAATCTTAGTATTTAAAGTTGTGAGTGCTTTGTAATAAATCAGTTTTACCGCGAATAAGCGGGATTAGTACAATTGTGCACCGTCAGAGAAAATTACTCTTGAGTGACGGACGAGGATAAATTGCCCAAAGGTGCCTCTGAATAGAGACGCTTTTCATTCTATTAAATGTTTTCGCTTGGATGAGTATGAATATCTTTCGTCTTCTTATTTTGAATGAAAATGATCAGATAAAGGGTAAGTTTTATTTACGAAGTCATAGTAAAATTGAGCGCAATTTCTGCAGTGGTTGTTTAAGTACAGTATGCTCTAAAAGGCTCTTAAATAAAAATGAGATGTTTCATAAATAGTAATAATAATAAAAATATTTCAGGACATATTTTTACACAAAGTTATCTAGTCCCAAACTAAGCAAGGCTTGTACTACGCATAATGGGTAACTGATAAACATACTTCATTCTTCTGATCATTTTGTAAAAAAATACATCTTACAGATATATAAACACATAGACAGTGGAAAAACACTATGTTCATCATACAATATTTTTCCACAAGTGGGGATGGAATCCACACCCTCGCACAGGAGACACTAGCACACTAGCCAATCGGGTAGTCATGTTTATGGGTGCTCTACATTTTAATTGATACGCCAAGCATTGCTTCAAATGCTAAAGAAAAACAATGTAGATAAAAGACGTTAAGTTTTTGTCGGTGGCAAAAACTTCACGTCAAAAGCTAAAAAGCCGTTTAGCTTAGCGGCTAAACCGTCAGGCCGCAAATGCCGAAGACGTGGGTTCGATTCTCACAGCGGCGACAAACTTTTCGTACTTGTTCTACACATTTTAATGATACTACAAAGTTTAATTTATCTAACGTGTGTCTCATTTCATTATAGACACCGGCATCTAAAACTTACAACTGGAAAGTAAA